TACCACAGTGCCTCAAATTAGAAGCCCCCAATCAACATGAGCTTACTCAGAGTCTCAGTGACCACGTGCCACAGCAACAGAGATACCACACACAGGCAGGCAGCTTTAGAGAACAGACATTTATTTTCTCACCGTTCTGGATGCAAACCTTCCAAGTCAGGGTTTCAGCCCTGACCATCCCTTCCTTGGTGGTGTGTCCCAAGTGTGCCTTGGTTCCTTGGCAGTCCTCAATGTGGCACCCGTCTTCCCCTGTGTGTGGGTCCCTGTTCTTTTTATAACTCAAGAAAGGCATTCATTTTGAGTGTGAGCTAATTAACATCACAAAGAAACCCCTATTTCCCAACAGGAGAACAGGCCCAGGAGTTAGGATGCCAACACAACTGTGGATTAATTATGGGGTGGGGCTGACACAATTACTCCATAACACATGGTTTATATAGGAAGGCCCTTCCCAGTGGAATCCCAAGGCCCCAGCTAGTTACTGAATCAAGTAGGCAGCAGAGCTTGCCGAGCTGGACTTGCTGGGCTGGTGAAGCTCAGTGCTTCTTCCTTGCATCACACATCCTCCTCTGGAGGCCTCCATGCCCATAGCTCCGAAGGTCGAACTTGTCAAGGCCCTTTGATCACTCAGGAGGGCTGCTCCCCTTTGCAAACCCTCCCAAGGAGATTTCACCACTCCCTCAGGGGCCAATCCAGCACTGCCCAGCCCAATCTCCGGAGGTGTCCCCCGGGCTGCACCAGAATCCTGATATCACAGTTGAGCACTTTTCTATCTGCCAAGTCAAGGGAGAGAACAATGAGCTCAGGGTAGAGGCTGGGGAACCTTTGGTTCGCCAAGCCAAGCCCGTCTTTTCAGGCCATTTGGGGTCCTGGACTGTGTACAACTTATGATGAGTGTCTTAGACTCCCTTCTCGGGAAAAACGGAAAATAAAGTACTCAGAAGTACATGTACACACAAGCCAAAAATTTCAAGGTTTTTCACCTTTCAGGGAAAGTCCCAGTTCTCTCTTGGTGGTTAAGCTGGCCCAGTGCAGACAGTTCATCCAGGTTCCTTCTCCATCGGCTGGCACTGGGGGTCTTTTCCGTAATTCACCAGACTAGTAAGAACGGTATCCTGGATGCCAGGGGTCTGGACCCCCCTTTCCCACTCTGTTCCCACGCTGTTTTATTTTTGGCTTCCTGGGCTTTCCTTTGCTTTCCCTTGGCCTCAGTTTGCTCATCTGTCAACCGAGGTGGATGAACCTGAGAGTCACTGGGGATTGACCATATCTGCCAAAGCCTGTGAAATATAGCAAGCCCCCCTCCCACTTCCCTGTGCCTGGTAAGGTGGCTTGAACATAGATGACACCAAGTACACGTTTATCTGCTTGAAGGGGTGTTGAGCAAAAACGAACACAGCTTGAGTGGGAGGAGCCTGGCTGGGAACTTCTTTGCACCTTGATAGAGACATTTAACTATTAACCAAACCAAACTCACTGCCATCGAGCTGATTCCAACTCATCGGAATTCTGTCGATGGGACTGATTTGGCAATCTTGACCTCTTTGTGGGGGAAAAGACTCACAAGATTACTGAGGTCTTCTTCATATTTTCACGGGGTTAAAAGTTGGCCCAGGGAATGATGGTACCATTAAGAAATGAAGACTGGGTAGAGGATGAATGGGTTGGAAAGGGGGAACCTATTACAAGGAACTATATGTGACCTCCTCCCTGGGGGACAGACAACAGAAAAGTGGGTGAAGGGAGACGTCGGACAGGGCAAGATAT